CCAAAAAAAAACGCTAAAGAGGATAGAGAGAAACACTGTTAACAGATGATATATGGAGGGGATAATAATCAATGTAATTAAACAAGCTATATGAATGGTTGAATGTGAAGCTGATGATGTGCCCTGTAAACTTTCACTCAATCCAAAATAAAAACATTTTATTAAATTAAAAAAAAGGTTTCACCAAAAGAGTAGAAAAGGGAGCACAAAGAACGGAAAAAATCTTTTACAACGACATATCAGACAATAGACTAATCTCTAAAATCAATAGGCAACGACAACACCTCACAGAAAAAAAGACAAGTTATTTGTGCCGATTAAAAAATGGGCACAGGACATGAACAGACACATCCAAGGAAGACATTCGGGCAGCCAACAAAAATATGAAGAAATGTTCATGATCATTAGCCACTATTGTTGTTGTTAAGTGCCGTCGAGTTGATTCCAACCCATAGCGACCCTGTACAGGGTTTCCAAAGAGCAGCTGGTGATCTTGAGCCACTGACCTTGTATTTCAAATGACTTTGTAGAGTGTGGCATTAGCCCATGGTGCCACACCAGGACATTAGAGATGCAAATCAAAATAACAATGAGATATCATCTCACACCAGCAATAACAGAATCAATTAGTCCAACAGACTAATGGAACATGTGAACATCAGTCTCCATGACTCTGAGACCAGAAGAACTAAATGGTGCCCAACTATCATTACCAACTGCTCTGAAAGGGATCACATTAGAAGATCCCAGATAGAGCGGCAGAATATGTAGAACAAAACTCAAAAGTATTTTTAAATGACCAGGCTTACTGGACTGAAAGAGACTGGAGGAACCTGACATTATGGCCCTCAACCACACTTCAGGTCTGGAAAAGAACTCATCCTCGTGGTCCAACTTTCAATCATGCAGCATATAGGGTGTATGGGGGAACAACGACACTTGTGAAGTATGCGCACTATGACTGATAGAGCGGTCAGTTATAAGGGGCAATATGTTCTTAAGGACAATGGTGAGAAGGTATGGGAAGGTGAGTGGAAGAAAAATAGGAGCCACAGGGAGGAAGTGAGATAACTGGTGTTGCATGGAGGGATTAATATGAAACATAGTGTATTATTTGTTTAATTAAAACTGATGATCTTCCTGTAAACCTTCACTCAGGTCACAAAAGTTAAAATAAAATAAAATAAAATAAAATATATATATATATATATTGCTACAAATTCACAGAAACTTGTATTAAACAAAAAATCAAAATATGAAGCTACTGTTTCTTGGGCATAACCTCCATTTAGTTCTATGTACTTCCTAAGGCAGTTTTTTTCTCTAACACTTCCCCAAAGAATTATGTGCTCTTTGACTTATATCATGTCAAATCAGCAGTTCTGCCATCCTCTAGGGACCTAAATTATGTTCCTTTTAAATGTTCTATAAGTTTTGGGAACAAAAAGAAGCCTGAAGGGGGCAAGATCAGGGCTGTAGTGTGGACAGGGTAAAATTTCCCAACAAAATTCTCATAGGATAGCCCTGCATTACCCTCTAAGAATATACAGGTACATTGTCATGATGGAAAACAATTCCTTAGTGCAAATAACTGGTGTTTTCTCACAAATGAAGTTTCCAGTTTTCTTAAAACTTCTTCCAAGTCATCATGATCATCCATTGTACTCTGAGAAAATCTACTGAGATTACACAGTTGGAGCACACATACATCCATCCCCCTGGAAGTCACTGTTTTGTTTGGACATTTTTATGTTTTGAAAGCACCCTAAAGACATTTTTAAGTGCCACTGAGTCAGTCTGCACTCATAGTGACCCTGTATAGGGTTTCTAAGGAGCACCTGGTGTGTTTAAACCTCCCACTAGTTAGCTGCAGTTAGCAGTCCAAAGCTTTTGCTGCAGTGTCACACCAGGACTCCTAACAACACTAAGATCAGTCTGTTACTGGGTGAACTTCTCTGTAGCCATCACTGATCACAGAAACATGTTCAAATATGTTTTATTTGGAATAAACACATGAATATATGAACAGGGACCTAGTAGCAATATTTTCTTAACCTACCTTCCTGTCTTGACGTAAGGGTTCTATTCACTAAATGGGCAATATTAAAATTGATGAAATCTATTCCATTCTTCAACCATAATTATTTCTTAGGGAAAAATGTTTATCTGTTCTAGCCTCATATAATTAAAATTATTTCAGAACCTACATCTTAATATTAAATAAGCAATTCCTCAAAAGCAAGCCTTTGGTTTTGCAAGTCACGTGTCCTCAATTAAAAATTTTTATTTTAAGTTTAAATACAAGTGTTCCCTTATAAAGAAAAAGTTATTTTGGTAATTCCACTGAACTGCATACCAAAGAATCCCTGGTTAACTAAGTCTTTACTACTGAGTTTTAACAAGGAGAAAACAAGTTAGATCTATTCCCCAGGCCTCCCCTGAAGACAGTATGCATGACAAAACTAACTGTTAAACAGAATGATGCACTTCAAACACAGAAACACACCCCTTCTGAGCTTTTCAACTCAAAAGGACTCCTATTTCAGAAAGAATAAGAGTGACTGGCACTAACATTTGGATAAATTTCTTTTGTGTTAGAGAATCTGCGTAGCAAACATCAGAGGCTTTACCTACCAGAATTTCATGGCTTGAACTCTGTGAACTTTCTGCTGTAGTGATCAGTGAACTCTAAATTTTAGTAATATCAATTATATATAGTATACATTACACATTACTATAGAATAAGGAGTCCTGGTGTGGCACTGTGGGATAATGCACTGGACTGCAAGGTTGGTTTGAAGTACATGGTCGGTGGTTCAAATTCACCAGCCACTCCTCAGAAAACTTAAACATGATCATTATGAGTAAGAAACCAACTCAAAGGCACTAAATAACAACAACTCTACAATAATATAATTTACATATTTCTAAGGCATCATCTTAGTCATTCTTAGTACAAATTATCCTATCTCTACTAAATGAAGTTTGATATGGCTACAGAAGATCATGCCTTTGAAGATAAAATAATAGCATATAAAGCCTTTTAAAACTTATTAGTAATCCATAAATAAAGACATTTTTGTTAAAAAGCCAAGAAGAGAAGGTCGGAATTTCTAAGGAAACCACTGAAATTATGCTAATTTAAACTCATATTCAACTGGATCAGGATAACTGATTCTGATACATTAATGTTATAAAAATGTTTATAATAAAGAGGAAAATCCATTTTTACTTGTTTTAGAGATTCTTTTTATGTTGCAAAAAATTCTGTCTCTATGAAATATAATTCTTTTGTTTACATAAATATAGTAACACGTATTTATTTAACCTATATCCTTCATATCCATTTCTATACTTTAAAAATGCTTTCATTCATTTTAAAGAGATAAGTGCATAACAGTGCATGTCCACTCAATAATACTGTTTATTATTTAATAGCTTTATTCACTTTTCTAGTTCCCTGAGTATGGTCTCATACAGTGTAACCTGTAGTTACACTAGCAGCATCTTGAAGCTTTAAAAGTACTTTACAAGTTCAGAATCTTGGTAAGAGTTCATAATTCCGTATATAACACCTCAAATTACCCTTATTAGAACCTTGTTGCTATTGTTAAGTTCCATCCAGCTGATTCTGACTCAGAGTGACCCTGTATAGGATTTCCAAGGCTTATCATATTATAAAATAATGCCTGGTATACATATCTGACCTTAGGAGAAATTCCTAATAGCAAGAACTGCATTTGAGAATGCTTGTTCTTCCAGAACCTACCACTATATGCTTGGCACATAAGAATTGCTTAAAAAAACAAAACAACAACAAAAAATGTACAATTGAGTATAAACATAAAATTTTGAAGAACTACATCTTTTCATAAGTTATAAATACCCATTGAATTATAACTCAGTTTCATACACATTATCTAATTTATTAAGCTTATACAAAAATAATGTTTAAAAAAGGACAATTTGGCTGTTTATTAATGGTCTCTTCTTGCGAAAAAAACAATTCTCTATCACAAAAGAAACTCGTAACCTAAAAATAAAGAAAAACTAAAATTACTTACTGCTTATTGAAAAAATATGGTTGTGTTCCCAGTCTTTGAGAAAGAGCTTGACAACACTGGTCTACATCTTCTAAGACCTAACACAAGCAACAAATCACATACAAAAAAATATCTTTAAATGAGCAAAACAATAAAGATGGTGCAAGCTTAACTTCATTCACATTTCACAACAAAAAACAAATGAGATTTACTTCTTATAATATATTCAAGAGATTATAGACTATGTATGTTGTAGACTATGTATGTTGTTATTAAGTACCGTCGACCTTATAGAGGGTTTCTGAGGAGTAGCTGATGGGTTTGAACTGCTGATCTTGTGGTATACAGTCCAGTGCTGATCCTACAGTGCCACACCAGGAATCCTAGACTATTATATAGCATAAACTACTTTTTATATAAGAAACTAGAAGAAAAATTTAGAGTGAATGTTCTTTAAGTACAAGTACAATTAAGTAACAATGTTAGAGTTAACATTGAGAAAGCTTTTCTCTCAAGACTCTACTCCCCACATAAAAATGTTTTCTTAACCCATAATTTCAAATGACTTTGCATGTACAAAATAATCTGCTTCCTAAGTGACGCTGCTGACCTACCATGCATGAGTAAAACCATTTGATTTGCTTTCCCACTAGTAGTGATGGGTTTTATTTACGCCATTCTCTATTCATTTACTCAATCCCCCTTGTGGCCAATGGCACACATCAGTGAGATGGCTGTTTAGGATTAGGGGGAAAGAGAGAGAGATTGATTAGCTTAATGATGCTCAAACACATGACCTTGACAAGATACACATTTTTTACATTGTGCTACTTCAGTAAATTTAGGACCAAAGAAAAATACATATACTAAGCATTGAATTAGAGGGTTGTTGCTTCTTCCCAAAGCCTTGATACTGCAAATCTATATTTACTGACATAAAAGAGGCCCACAATGTATAGGCTATAGAGTGGCAGGTATAATATGATCTCATTTAAGGAAAATGCTATTAAGATACACCTAGGAGAATATTCTCCACAAGTTGTTAACAGTGGCAACTTCTAGGTGGAAGAATCTCAGTAGCATTTATATTCTCTTTAAACTTTTCTATTATACTTTTTTTTTTTTTTACATTAAGCATGTGTGATTTTTATAAAATAAATTATACAATAATTACTTCATGTTAGAATATTTCACAACTATTTTGCTAATTTTACATTATGCAGAAATTTTTAAAAGGAATATCAACACAAAGAATAAATTTTTAGTGTCTGTAAGTTGAGGGTTCATTTTGTCAACTGAACTGACCTGATCCAGAGTCTTGTTGCCCCATCCGATAGCTTTCATCTTGCGTTTCACTTCCCACTGTTTCTGATAGGCCAAAATACGGTTCAGAGGCCAAGGGTAAGGCGATCCAAACCTAGGAAAAGTAATCTAAAGCAAAAAGATTTTGTTAGAAACACTGTTCCTCCTAAAAACAAAGACTGGTTTTACAAATAAAATTCTGACAGAAATATATTTTCAGAGAACACAAATGGAGCAATATGAAGAAAATCCAAAATTACATAACTTGCAGTCTAAAAAATTAAAATTTTAAACCATTCACTTTAAAAATATATAAACATTTATGTACTTTGCTACCAGTTATATCAAACAATGACACATAGCTTCCCTAAGTTGTATGTGCAAGCAAAATTAAAGTAAGTGAAAAACTATAGCACTAATGGTATAAACCACAATGTTTCATTTATGAGCAGGGACTTGCGATTCTGAGCAAAAGTGTTTTCTCATTAAATTTTAATTAAGATAAATGCTGCAGAACCACTCACCTCCCCTACTGTAGCTTCATCGCACCACTGAAGATACAACTAGGAACAAAAGAACAGTCACGAGAACTTCAGAATACCAAAAGGAAACCAGATTTAAAAAGTTATTTCTTGCAATGGTAATTTTTTATAAGCCAACTTTAAAAAAGTCACCGATGAGAGGTTTATTCCCCCAGCTAACAAAGCTATGGAGAATCATTAAATTTAATGGGGAGACTTTTATTTTTTATTCATATAATACATCTTTATATATCAAAGTATTTTATAGATCTTATTTAAGAAACGTCACAATACTGACGTTTTGTAAAATAGTGGGGGCAAGAATCACTGTATTTTATAAATAGAAAAACTAGAACTGAAAATGTCACGGAACTTATTCAAAGATAATGATCACATAATGTAGATAAGCAGCTTAGCCCTAAAACTGCTTGACCTTTTCTTATTTTAAATTTCTCAATAACTCTAAACTAACACACAAGAAAGATTTTATTTTATGGAGGGAAAAGCTTACTTTTAAGCCCTATAATCTTGTATTATACCTCTGCAGTCAACAGCATATTGTTGACTAATTCCATGTAGGCTTTCATTTCTGCTTTTTGGACTTCATCCAGCCCATCACTAAGCGAATGGCCCTAAAGGGAATTTTTAAAAATTTTAGAGTATCATATTAAATATACAAAAACTTTCAGCTAGCTTGCTATCAAGTAATATAACATCAATGTTTCTACTAGAGATGTCCAATGGATTCATTTCCAAAATTGCTCCTAAGACAAAATTATTTTACATGAAGACATATTTAATATTCTACTATCACTGTAAAATATTCATTACTAGCAATTATTTTACACTATAAAAATATATCTTTCAATGGAAAAAACTACATTAATAATTATTTCACAAAAGAAAAAACAGAATGGTCAGTAAAGTTTGTTTTTTATAAAGACATTAAATTTATTTATAATAAAAGAAATGCTAAAATATTCACATGTATTGCTTATACTATAAAGTGGCCAATGAAAAGATTTGGAATCAACTCAACAGCAACTAACAACAATACACTAGTAAGTGATAGATACATAAGAAAATATAAACTTTACTTCAATCTGACAATCAGATATAAAATTTTTAAGTGAATATATTATGACATGGCACTATCATTCAGTATCACTCTTAGGAATTTATCCTAAGGAGACAATCAGTCAAATGTGCAAATGCTTATGTTTAAGAATATTTATCTTAGTATTTCTTATAAAAGACAACAACTGGCAACAACTTAAATGCCCATCAATAAAGTCTTGAGAAAGTAAATTACAACACATCCAAACAATTTAAAAGGTTGATATACAATTATAATCACTAAAATAGAAAAATGTCAAACATGAGGGGGCTTCAAAAAGTTTGAGAAAAATTCCATTACCTTTTCACTCCATTTTTCTATGAACTTTCTGAGTCCCCTCGCACTGATGATTTTAAAAGGTAGGGTGCAGAATAACATGTAATAAACATACTGTCATTGAGTTCATTTCAAATCAGAGTTACCCAATAAGAGAAAACCGGCACTGCTCCAGAGAATTTCAGAGGCTATCCATCTTTATGAAACAGACTGGACTCATCTTCTGACCAAGGAGTGACTGGTGGATTCAAACCACCAATTTTTGGGTAACAGATCAATGCTTAGTCCACTGTGGTACTAGCGATCATAATAGTATGTGGCACTGTAGGATCAGCACTAGACTGTGAACTATAAGGTCAGTGGTTCAAACCCACCAGCTGTTCCTCCGAAATCCTGTACAGGGTTGCTATGAGTCAGAATCTACTCGACTGCACTTAACTACATATATGCGTACAGAACGTTTCAGAAGGGTGGTTCAACAAAACATCAATGGCAGTGGTCCTTACATAACTATTAAAATCTAAACTGAATAAATGAAAAGTTGAATAATTTAAATGACTAGATTAGTATATTCAACTTTTAAACATATCTTATTTATCTCCTTTCTCAAGAGTTAATCTGCTATTATATAACAATCTAAGTTTTCAATTATGACCAAACTTCTCATAACCATAAATTGGGAAATTAGCTACCATTTTAGGAAGATCAAGCTACCTCTTGTGCCACAATGGGGGGGTGGGGGGGGGGGAGGTGGGAGGTGGGAGGAAAGAGATACTTTAATTTTAGAATTACTTTTCCAGCAGTTTATATTGGCATTTTATAAAACTAGGTTAAAATCAATGTAACTGTGAACAGACACACTAAAGAATGATGAATGGTTATTTAAGAGTCACTGTAATCAAATCCATTTAATATCTTTTTTATTACCTTGGCTTTAACAAATTGGACTATTGGGCCAAGTTCTGATACTACTTGATTTCCCACATGAATAAAAGGTACTTTACCTGTTGAGGAAAAAAATGCATGAAAACACTTAGCAAATTAAAGTTTATATTAACAAAAGGAAATCAACACAAATTTAGGATATATTTTATTAACACACACTTCACGAAATTAAAACTTTTGAAAATTGTAGTCAAATGTATGTTAAGTTTAGTAAAAAAATTTTTAAAAACTGGTTACTGACTAATTTTAAAAACAAGCAAACAAAAAGAACATGTAGATTCATTTCTTGAATTCTTTACTTGGATATACCAACAGATCACACAATATTCTCTTTTCAGAGCTAACACAAGTGAATCACTATAAAGCATTAAGTACTAATCATCCAAATTACTAAACTAAGACAATAGTTCATGACCAGTGATAAATTTCAAAGAAACCTAACTAGGTTTTCTCTTCAGAGTACAGAGACTCAATCTGTATTTTAAACTGTTACATTTAAGAAACCTCCTCCTTTTACATCTTCTAATTTTAAATATCTGATTCCCATTAAGCTCAATATTTAAAGCACACCTACATTAAAATATTTCTTTGGTTCAAAAATATCAAGAATTAGGAGAATTAACAATTATTGAAGGCATGCTAGTTTGTGAGTTTAATAACACGAAGCATGTTCCCAATAAATGTGGGGAAAAAGAACAAGCATCATGCTCAAAAAGTTGGTTTCTCTAAATAAATCTCATGCTGAAAAAGTAGCATCTCATTTGAAAACATACTAATATTTGATAAAATTGTCAGAGATGATGAAAAAAAAAAAGTCTCCAAATAGCAAGAAAGTCCATCCTAAAAGTCAAAAGATGAAACCTGCTGTCAGACCTAGTTCAAACAGAGTTCACACTAACAGCAGGCTTCTTCATGCTCCTTTTCAATAGATTCACTCTCTCTGGTTCAGTCAGCCTAAGGGTAATGGAGGAGGTGCACAGCAGCAACAAAAGCTTCCTCTGCATCCATAGGATAACATGCATTACAAAGGAAAGGCAGGCCTTCTGGAACACAACAATTCAATAGATGCAGTCAGAAGATACTTCCATGTTACCAATGTAAGAGCACTGAACTGACATTCCTTTCCCCTGCCTCTTTATAAATCTTGCAGCCACTATTTTACATAAATAGTATAGGTTCTCTGAGATAAAATGATCTGAGAATGAGAGTTTCTCTCAGTATTCTGAAGTATTAGCATTTTGAGAGTATTTCTCATTTTCAACATACAAGGAAGCTTCAAAAAGTTTGTGGAGATTTATAATTAAAAGGTAGTAGAGTTTTTCTACAAAATTTTTGAAGCTCCCTTAAATAGGGTCACTGTGAGATGAAACCAACTCCATGGCAGTGGGTTTGGGTTTTTGATCTGACAGTTTGGAGTGCTTGAAAGAGTTTGCTTTGTTTCTGTCCTTCCTTTTCTTACAAATATGTTAAGTATTACAGATGCTACAGCAGGGAAGCAGCATTAGCAGGCAGTGAGTATTCATCCAAAATATCTCTAACTAGAAGCAGGTATATACAAATCAAGGCAACCAATGTTTTGTTGTTGCTGTTAAGTGCCTTCGGGTGATTCCTGTATAGGGTTTCCAAGAAGTAGAGCTGGTAGGTTTAAACCACCAACTTTTCAGTTACTAGTTCAATGCTTTCCCACAATGCCACACCAGAAGTCCAAGCAACAAATTATTAGTAAATAATGTTTTTTGTCACTAATCTTACTTAAAATGAAACCAATGTTAAGTCTTTGTTACTGCAAGTACCAAGGAAAAGCACAGTGAGACAGTTATTCTTTGGCACCATCAAAGGTCATTCTCCATGTTTTCATTTTAGGCGGAAAAATCACTTTTAGAATCTTTACTTTTACAGAAAAGCAAGAACATGTTGCCAGGACACTATGCAGATTCAGAGAATAGATCTTGGGTGTCCTCTAGCCCAATCACTTCATACTACAGAAGCTGTCATTGAGGTGCCGGGGGGGGGGCGGGAATCCCAGGGAAATAGTTAATATGTGACAAAGTCATAGAAGGATACCATATAATTTTCCTAAATCTTAACCAAGAGGTCTTTTGACTACTCTCTGCTTTAAAAATCTACAAGATCAAATAAGCACATTAAAGTAAAAAATGCTTCCACAATTACTCAAAATTATGAAAGGAAAAAGTCATTTGAGACATAATAAATTTTAAATATCCTACTGGAAAGTGCATTTTCATTTCCTGTAGGAGTGGCTGTTAAGTGTCATCAAGTTGGTTCTGATATAGCGTCCCTGTGTAGGCTTTACCAAGAAACGGCTCATAGATTTGAACCACCAGCTTTTTGGTTCAAGCAATCCAGTGTTTATCCTACAAGTTCACATCAGGAGACTTCTATGGCTATATATTTATGCCTCTGTAATAGCTGTCTGTTTTTCATACAGTCTACAACAAGATAACTATCTGGCAAGGTCAGTTTAAACTGCAAAGTCAGCAGTTCAAGCTCACCAGCCGCTCCTTGGAGTCCCTATATAGGGCCACTATGAGTTGAAACCAACTCAAGACTCAATGGCACTTAACAACACCTGGTAGTATTAAGTACAGTATAGTCATTTTAGGAAACAGCTGGATGAACTGTATCACTTATCGCCATATTAGAACTAGCTTACTGGTCATTTTATGTATACACCTAAACAATTTTTTATATGATTACATAGAGGAAAAAGATGGAAATAAAGCAATATAATTCATATAGCCAGAATTCAGTAAAGTGTATAAAAACATATATAATATCAGCCCAGAGTGAGTCATCGAATGATCTATAAAAGACTAAAATATGTTTTTAGGTTTCTAAGCCTATAAATTCTCTTATGGAAACATATGTGTATAGATACATATATATTCATAAACCTATAAATATGCAAGAGGATTCAAAGAGTTCATGGAAAAATTCCACTATCTTTTAATTCCATTTTTTTACAAAGGTTTTGAAGACCCCTAGTAGATGCAATCATCTAGAATTTTCAGCATATTTTCATACCATTTGACAATTCATTATCACCCTTAAGAACTTAAAGACTTTAAAAAGTGTTTTTGTATAATGAACAAATAGATTGTCTCCCTGAAAAGTAATGTAACACTTTTATACCAAACGGCTAAACTCATTTGGATTTACTCATAAAGGAGGGATTCTATGTGTTATTACTGCTCTAGCAAAGCCAGAACTACCACAATGCACACTGAGTATATTTAATATCCCTTTAACTTATCAGCTTTATGGCACTTATTTTTATGGTAAAAATTATTTCAATCATAATTTATTTTAAATGGCTCTTTAATCTACTTCAGTGACACTGAAGAAAAGGCAGTACTGATTATAAAAAGTAGCCGAAAAACTGAAATTTTAGTTAAAGCATTGTTGTTGTTGTTAAGTGCCATCGAGTCGGGTCCGACCCATAGCAACCCTGTACAGGGTTTCCGAGGGTGTAAATCTTTACGGGAGTAGAAAGCCTCATCTTTCTCCCGTGGAGCGGCTGGTAGTTTCGAACCGCTGACCTTAAGGTTCGCAGCCCGATTCGTAACCACTATGCTACCAGAGTAGCGTTACGAGGGCAAAAAAAGTAAAAACAACAAAAAAATTTCCAGTAACCATCTCTGCCTAGAGTTGAAAGGAATAGGCACACCTATCCCAAAATTTTCAAGTCTGCAACTGGTATTTCATAAAACTGAGCAAAATTCCCTCAAAAGGCCTCCAAAATTAAGCATTTTTAATTCTTGGATACAAAATGGATTCTATCAATATTTTTATTAATGAAGAAAAATGAGAAAGAAGAAAGTAATCACTTACCAGATGGAGACATGTATTCTGCATTTGATCTACAAACCACTTTGACAGGCAGATTACACATTTGCAAAAAGGCCTGTAATCAAGAGAACTACAGTAAAAATCTAATGAAAGCATAAACATATTTCAACACAACTGCTTTTCTTTTTCCAAACTGAAGAGTTGATATAGTAACACTATTGTGGAAGAATAAATCAATTTAAAGTAAGGGATTTATTTTCCAAACACAAAATGTCATGTTAGTATTAAAAAATCACTGATTTAGACACTGTCGGCATATGCTATAGAGTCAGTTCCAACTCACAGCGACCCTGTACAGGGTTTCCGAGGCTGTAAACCTTTACGGGAGCAGAAACCCTCATCTTTCTCCCACGGAACAACTGGTAGTTTCAAACTGCTGGCCCTGAGGTTCGCAGCCCAATTCATAACCACTACGATACCAGAGCTCCTTTAGATATAAGAAATTTAAAGCATTTCTTCAGATTTATGGAAGAAAATGTAAATTATCTATACTTCCTTTACTGTATTAGTTTATGTAAGTCAGCCATTGCACATATATTATGTCCAGTTTCGTTAGCAGATCACCAAAGTCCACATTTTATAAGCGATTGCTTAGTCCCACTACTCTTCCCAGGATCACTGTCTTTCTCTTCTTTTTACGTTTTTATTGTGAATTGAGTGAAAGTTTACAGGGCAGAACATCAGTTTTACATTCAACAAATCATACACTTTGTTTCATTACAGTGATTATAATCCCCTCCATGTATCATCAGTTAACAGTATTTCTCTAGATTTATTGTAGCTGTTTTGTTTTTTTTCTTTTAAACACTCAGGCATATATAATAATTTACCCCACCAAAAGGCACATTCTGCAAGTCTACCTCCTGGCAGCCAGCTTTCAGTTCCTCTCTTACCATGAATCTAGAGTCCTCAGCTGCTCCCTCTCTCCTTGTCCCTATCTCTGCCTCCTTTTCTGGTGTCACTGCTTCTCTAGATAGGGTCCTGCATTCTGCTTGTGCTCTTCTCCCTTGATGGTCCTAGGGCGCTGTGTTTCTGGACTGTAAGATTAACTACTTCCCCATTTTTGTTACAAAACTTCTACCTTTACAATTGTGACAGTTGCAATTAGTCATGATAATAATTACTTACTACTGAATCATAAGAATCTTATCCACATCTCTTTTTACCAGACCCATCGAGACAAGATGAAAACTATTCAGTGAGGACTTTATCTTTTCCCACACACTCTTAAACTAAACTCCCTCTTAAAACCTTGTAAGCCAATCACTTTGTGCCTTTATCGCCCCCTCATTTTTGGCATCCAGTGTCTAAGTTGCCCATCCCTATTCACCCTGTATACAGAGGGAACAGCATTGCTATTGGATGTGAAGACTACTTCCCTCTCTGTTGGTATTTTGAGCTAGGGTTGTATTCTTTCACCATACTTATTCAACCTGTATGCTGAGCAAATAATACGAGAAGCTGGGTTATATGAAGAAAAACGTAGCATCAGGATTGGAGGAAGACTCATTAACAACTTGCGATATGCAGATGATACAGCCTTGCTTGCTGAAAGTGAAGAGGACTTGAAACATTTACTGATGAAAATCAAAGACCACACACAGCCTTTGGTATGGATTATATCTCAATGTAAAGAAAACAAAAATCCTCACCACTGGACCAATAAACAACATTCTTATTAACAGAGAAAAGATTGAAGTTGTCAAGGACTTCATTCTTCTTAGATCAAGTATCAATACTCACGGAAGCAGCAGTCAAGAAATCAAAGGACGTATTGCATAAGGCAAATCTGCTACACAAGATCTTTCTAAAGTGTTGAAGAGGAAAGATGTCAGCTTAAAGACTAAGGTACGCCTGACCCAAACCATGGTATTTTCAATAACCTCATATGCATGCGAAAGCTGGACAGTAAATGAGGAAGACCATAGAAGAATCAATGCATTTGAGTTATGGTGCTGGAGGAGAATATTGAAAGTGCCATAGGCTGCCAAAAGAACCAACAGATCCATGTTGGAAGTGCAGCCAGAGTGCTCCTTATAGGCCAGGATGGCCAAACTTCGTCTCTTATACTTCGGACATATCATCAGGAGGGACCAGTCGCTGGAGAAGGATATCATGTTGGTCAGGTGGAGGGTAAAATGAAAAGAGGAAGACCCCCAACGAGATGGAATGGCTAAGTAGAAGCATCAATGGACTCAAGTGTGGCAACAATAGTGAGGTTGGCCCAGAATCAGGCAGTGTTTCATTCTGCTGTGCATAAGGTCGCTATGAGTTGGAACCAACTCGATAGCACGTAACAATAATAAACCTCCTCAAATATAGGTTAAGTTAATCAAATTGTAGCAATTTACCCTTGTTTATCAAAACTTGTTTTCTTTTTTATTATCTTCCTCTAGTCGAGTTTCGATTACCAAACCATTGACACTAGGTCTGCAAGTTTGGGTGTTCTTGTACGAGACCTCTCACTTCATATCAGCTGGATGCTTCACTATCAGCTCTAGCCCTCTGTGTGTCATTTTCTTAGGGAAAAAACTCTGAAATGTTATTCTGCTTCTTCGGTGTTCTCACCAATGTAATGCTCATTGTCACATCTACGTTAATTCATTTTTAAGGCCTAAATTATTTATTTTCACTTATTTAAAGAAATAACAAACGTTTTATAAGAAACTCCAATATCTAATAATAAAGGAGAATCCAAAAGTCAAATCTATCATCTTATTGATTCCAACTCATAGTAACCTTAAATTGTTAAGTGCCATTGAGTCTGTTCTAACTCACAGCAACTCTGTATATGGCTTCCGAGTGGCTGGTGAGCTTAAATCACGGACCTGATGGTTCAAACTGACCTTTTGGTCCAGTGCTTATTATACAGCGCCACACCAGGACCCTATACGACAGAGTGAAACTGTTGCACAGGGTATTCAAACCTATAAATCTTTACAAAAGCAGAAAGCATCGTTTTTCTCCAACAGATAAGCTAGTGGGTTCAAATTTCCAACTTAGTGGTTAGCAGACTAGTGCTTACCTCGATGCATTACTAAAGCTCTTAATACGGGGGTAATAGTTTTCCTCAGTTTAAAAATAAATAAATGTTTTGCTTTCTATTTTGTATGAGGTAAATTACAGCCACTGTAACTTAGTACCTCCCCAGTTAAATAGGTTTATAGAAAAACCATACATAAATCTTGCAGATGGAGAAAAAGAGTTTGCCAAGAAGCAAGAGCAGAAGAAACAAGTGAAGTAAGCAGGCTTATGGGTCTGCCAAAGAGTTCACTGGTATCTTAAAAATATTTAAATGTGAATTAGTGTGATTTGGTAACTAACATTTTATATTTTTTAATCACTTAATTTCATAATATGATCATTTCTCCTTATCATAAACTACTCCTCAACAACATTATTTAAAAAAATATATCATATTTTTGAGGAATAGTTTATGACATGGACATTCTTAAAATTTGGTTAAGTACAAACCATGGAATATTATAGTCAGCTTTTAAAACACATGTAAAGCTTCAAGACCTTCTCTTTTCTCCTGCTGAAGAGAATGTAGAAAGGATTATAGCTACAGCAGTCAAAGTGAACCATAAAATAGAATCTTAGTATTTTGGATTGTTGTTTTTGTTGGTTAAAGTGCCGTCGAGTTGATTCTGACTCATAGTGATCCTGTGTAGGGTTTCCTAGAAATGGATGGTTAGTTTGAACTGCCAATCTTATAGTTCAAACTGACCTTGCGATTCACTGCAATCAATATGTATTGATAATTACAAGCAATAAGAAAGCAAAGGCTGAATAAAAACAGGAAGGATTAGTAGTTAAAAAACAGGGCCTTGTAAATAGAAATGATGCTGGAGAGATCATGATAGAATTTTGCAAGACCAATGATTTCTTCACTGCAAGTACCTTTTCTATACAACAAAAAAGATGACTATACACATGGATCTCACCAGACGGAGTACACAGAAATCAAATTGACTACATCTGTGGAAAGAGATGGTGAAAAGCTCCATATCATCAGCCAAAACACGGCCATATGCAAGTTCATGCTGAAGTTGAAGAAAAGTAAAACAAGTCCACGAGAGCCAAAATATGACTTTGAATATATCTCATCTGAATTTAGAGTCAACTGAAGACCAGATTTGATGCATTAGACACTAAAGACCGAAGATCAGAAGAGTTGTGGGATGATATCAAGAACATCATACAGAAGAAAGCAAAAGGGCCCAGACCAGCAGAGGCAGCAGCCGGAGCAGCTGTTGCCTGCGCCCTCCACACGCCCCGGGGTCTCTTTCCCCCTTCCTCCTCCGCCTTCCCGCCTGCCCCTATTGTTCCGCACCCCCCTTCCCCTTCCCGCCCACTCCCCTTTTCCCCCCTCAGTTGCCTCGCGCCTGCAGTGACCAATGACTTGACCACTCAAAGTCCAGTTCCCCAGAACATTGCTCGACATGGACACCGGTGTGATTGAAGGTGGATTAAATGTCACTCTCACTATCCGGCTACTTATGCATGGAAAGGAAGTTGGCAGTATCATCGGAAAGAAAGGAGAATCAGTTAAGAAGATGCATGAAGAGAGTGGTGCACTATCAACATCTCAGAAGGAAATTGTCCTGAGAGAATTATCACTTTGGCTAGACCCACTAATGCCATCTTTAAAGCGTTTGCTACGATCATTGACAAACTGGAAGAGGATATCAGCAGCTCTATGACCAATAGCACAGTTGCCTGTAGACCTCCAGTTACCCCGAAGCTGGTTGTTCCTGATAGTCAGTGTGGCTCTCTCATTGGGAAAGGTGGTTGCAAGATCAAGGAAATAAGAGAGAGTACTGGGGCTCAGGTCCACGTGGCAGGGGATATGCTTCCCAACTCAACTGAGCGGGCCATCACGATTGCTGGCATTCCGCAATCCATCATTGAGTGTGTTAAACAGATCTGCGTGGTCATCTTGGAGACTCTCTCCCAGTCTCCCACGAAGGGCGTGACCATCCCGTACCGGCCCAAGCTGTCCAGTTCTCCAGTCATCTTTGCAGGTGGTCAGGACAGGTACAGCACAGGCAGCGACAGTGAGAGCTTTCCCCACACCACCCCGTCCATGTGCCTCAACCCTGACCTGGAGGGACCATCTCTAGAGGCCTATACCATTCAAGGACAGTATGCCATTCCACAGCCAGATTTGACTAAGCTGCACCAGTTGGCAATGTAACAGTCTCATTTTCCTATGACACATGGCAACACCGGATTCAGTGCAGGTTTGGATGCATCTGCTCAGACTACTTCTCATGAACTCACCATTCCAAATGATTTGATTGGCTGCATAGTCAGGCGTCAAGGCTCCAAAATCAATGAGATCCGTCAGATGTCTGGGGCACAGATCAAAATTGCGAACCCAATGGAAGGATCTACTGATAGGCAGGTTACCATCACTGGATCTGCTGCCAGCATTAGTCTGGCTCAATATCTAATCAATGTCAGGCTTTCCTCAGAGACGGGTGGCATGGGGAGCAGCTAGAACAATGCAGATTCATCCATAAACCCTTTCTGCTGTTCACCACCACCCATGATCCATCTGTGTAGTTTCTGAACAGTCAGCGATTCCAGGTTTTAAATAGTTTGTAAATTTTCAGTTTCTACACTTTATCATCCACTTGTGATTTTTTAATTAAAGTGTTTTAATTCCTTTCTCTGTTGAGCTGTTAATGTTGAGGTCCATATTTAGTTTTATAAGCTTCTCCCTGTTTTGTGTTTTTGTTTTTTTTGGCTCATGAACTTTTTTTCTGTTTGTCATGGATATGTAAGAGTGGAATATTAATACATTTCAGTTTAGTTCTGTGATGCCAGGAATTTTTCAAAAACAAAACAAAACAAAAAAACAACGATTAAAAGATGGACTGGAGCTTTTCCATTGTGAATAGAAAAAAAAAAAAGGAAAAGACCAAAATGAATCTCAGAAGAGACTCTGAAACTTGCTCACCATAGAGATGCTGAAGCAAATGGAAGAAGAATGAAGGAGATAAAATAGCTGAACAGAAAATTTCAAAGGCCAGCTTGAGAAAACAAAGTCAAATATTATAACAAAATGTGCAAAGGCTTGGAATGAGAAAAGCAAAAGGGAAGAAGAGCTCAGCATTTCTCAAGCTGAAAGAACTAAGGGAAAAACTAACACCTCAACTTGCAGTATAATGAAAGATTATGTGGGCAAAATACTGAATGATGAAGAAAGCATCAAAAGAAGATAGAAGGAATACAGAGTCACTGTACCAAAAAGAAATGCTTGATGTTCAACCATTTCATGATCAAGAGCCAGTGGTCCTGAAGGAGGAAGTCCAAGGTGCACTCTAGTCACTGGCAAAGAACAAGGAACCAGGAATAGATGAAATATAAATTGAAATCTTTTAACAAACTGATGGAGACAGTCATTTAATTTTGACCAACTTAACAACATTTAACTTACCACGGACCTCAATTTATGGTGTAATTCTGGTTAACTGAACATTAATTATACAGCATTTATTACAAATTACTCTCATGACTGATTCAAAGGGGATTTTGTGAACTAATCTGAAGTTCACAAAATTTGATGTCACAAATAATGTTTTCATGCAAACAGTAAATACACAAAAGCAAAACATTTTCAGAACTGTCTTCAAGATCATAGTAAAAATCTAAAACTAAAACAGACTTGGAAAATACAAAGGTAAGTCAAAAAGCATTGCTACTAGGGTTCCTGGTTATACATACACAGGTTCATTCCACACAAAGCCTGTCTAAATATGTCTCTGTGAACTGTGGATGGCTAGACAAGTTCTTGTTAATATACTTTGTCTTTGTCTCATGAAGGTGTGTGTCTTCACACAAAAAAAGGCCCAGTCAAATTAGAAGCTTCTGAGGGGATCTGCTGGGTCACTTAATTCAGGACACAGAGGTCAACTCATAAGACTATAACCATTGTTTTATGGCACTCCTCGCGGGTAAACTTGATATTCTCAAAGAACAAAAGACAATCAGATTTTTTTTTTTTAAATCATGCAGAAGTTTTCAGAAACCTCCAACTACACTGCTGAAAAAAAGGTCAGGAAAGTTGAACCAAGAAATTATTTTTTATCATGCTCATTTTTCGAAGGTAGCAAGGGCTGTCTGTCCTACAATAATTTTATTGGGACATCTTACCCATTCAGCTTACAGTCCTAATCATGTCCCTTCAGATTTCTTTTTTTCTGCAAAACTCAGAGAACATTTAGTCCCTCCATATGCAAAAGCTGCCACTTTAACAAGGTGGAAACTGGACATCTCAAAATTCTTCCAGGAATGCTTGTTGCTGTTAAGTGCCATCAAGTCAGTTATGACTCACAGAAACTGAGGAGTGGCTGGTGGGTTTGACCCACCAACCTTGTAAACCTTGCAATAAGCAGTCCAGTCCTTACTGGCAGACACTGTATCAAACCTTCTCACTAAGGCACTTTCTGTTTTTCCACTGGCCTTCTAACTTCACGAAGCATGATGTCATTCTGCAAGAACTGGTCACACGTATAAGAGACAAAGCTAAAACTAAAGGATAATGGAATTCTTCCATGAACTTTCTGAAGCCC